TAGTTTACATTTTGTCCATATGCCATGTAATACTGAGATAAATCTCTCTACTGATTAATGACTTCCAAATCCCTCTTTATAGCCATATAATTCTATTATCAAAGATATAAATGTTTGTCATGTTGATAGGACACATGTAGGATTTGGGGAGTGGTTAGAATGAAGTAATATGTTTTATGCATAGAATAAGATACAGAATTAAACTAAACAGAGCCAAAGTCAGCATTGTTAATCACAGATTTGCAAAAGAAAATGCTAGAAGTGTAGGAATGGTATAGTCCACTTTATCAAGGTTGTGGCCCTCAACATATTATGAGCAACCAACCTCTTATAAATTGCTGACACAGAATCTTTTCTGGCCATTAATAATGGACTGGTGATTAATCAAGCTACCATCATTTAGCATTACAGCCAGAGCTCACCGCTGGCAGTGGTCAGCTAGATTGAGTGCTACATTAGTTCTGGATGGAGAAGAGAAGGTTTGTTATTTCCATGCCAGGTAGATTCCATTATAATAATAAAAAACTCTTCCCCCTACTACCTCCTGGCCAAGAAGTTTTTATCTGAAGTCTAAATGCTTCTTAAGGTAAATACTTTGCCAGAAGGAGAATCAGAACTGTGATAGCTTATATGTGTTTAGACTCCCTAGCTAAGTATATTGAATTTGGCCTGGCCAGAAAAGCTACTTTAGAAAATTAACAAAAAATTGGAATTGATCACTGGCAATTTCATCATGAAGACCATTTAAGAGGTCTAAGCTATTCTTTTGTTCTCTTGCTTACATCAGCAATTTAGAGTCATAGAGCTATGTATGCTTCAAGGACTGAAGGGGGGCATGTGGTCCAGCCTTCTGTCTGTAGGCGAGTAAAATACTTGTATTTTTTGGTTGATAAAGCCCAAGGAATTTAAGTGACTTGTCCAATGTCACCCAAGTGGCCAGTGACAGAGTGACAGAGGGAGAATGGATCCAGATTTCCTGCCATATTATCTGTTTACTTCAAAGCATAGTTTGAAATGTTGAATTAAATCTACTCAGTGCTGATTAAAACCTTAATTATCTCTGAGGTTTCATCTTTCACCTTGGGCCTTGTGGCAGCTACAGTTGGTTGGCCTGCTGCTTCTGAAAGGTCCCAGATTTGAAATCTGAGAACTGTAGGAGAGCTAGTCAAGGAGGATAGAATTTCCTCCTTTGAACGTGCCCATGGTCTCTGTGAAACCGTGGGCCTCTATCTCCACACCTCAAAGCAGTGGTAAAGAAGGACAGACATGTGGAAATTATCCTCCAAAAAGCAACATGCCGGTCACCTCCATTTGCCGCTTTTAAAAAGATGTGTCTTCCCTTTTGTTTCTAGCTAAGAGATACCCCCCTGCTTGTTTAGATTTCCTAAGATTGCGAGTGCTGGTTTTATTTTTCTAGACGATATTAACCCCCTGAACCCCCTCTTTTTGCACATGTAGAAACTGAGCTTAGAAGGTGTTGCGTGGCGATGAGACGGCAGAGCTGCTGCGTGGCAGAAAGTTGGAGTGCACGGGGTTGGGGATTTAGCTCAGTATTAGACGCTTGCCTAGCAAGTGCGAGGCCCTGGGTTCGGTCCTCAGCTCTGAAAAAAAAAAGGAGTGCAGCCCACACTGTCTGTCCTGCCCGCAGAGTAACCACTGTCACTGCTGTCCCTCGTTAAGTCATACACGGGGACAGTTAACGAAATGCTTGTGGTAACCACAACTCATACGATTCCACTCAGTTTAATGCAAAAATCTCTCTTTTGATTTTGTGGTTATATTTTGATTTGACATCCAATGTGGAAGCTCTCCATGGAAATGATTTTATAAACCTAATAAGTGCTTTTAAACAACTTTTCCCTCAACTATGAAAGTGCACACTACAGAACACACGATTATTGGAATGCAGACAAAATGTAACAGACACTATTCTAGATTATGTAGACATCACTAACTACTATTAACATCTAGGTTCATAGACATCTAATCTTTTAATAACTCTCTCTATACATGTCAAATTTAAAATATGCACAGAGTCCTAATACATTTTTTTAAAAATTATCTTTAAAAAGGACTTCAGTCTCAAGATATTCAGAGAATGGCTACTATAACAAGAAAAAAAAAAAAAAAAAGACAAGGAAATACCCTATTAGAGATCCAGAGGAAGCAATGAGCCAGGATCTTGGATTTTGCTGCTAGAACTATCAAAATATGTGCCAGGTGTGGTGGCATGCACCTGTAATGCCAGCACTTAGGAGGTGGAGGCAGGCGGATCCAGAGGTTCAAGGTCATTTTTGGCTACATGGTTAGTTCCAGGCCAGCTGGGCTATCTGAGGACCTGTCTTTAAAAAGCTAAAAATTTAAAATGAACTAACTTAAAACATTCAGGCAGAGCACTTTTCAACCTAAATAAGTTTGACTTTTTTTTTTTTATTGTATTTCCTAATTATAGACAATTTGAAGAAAAAAAAAGAAAGAAAGAAAACAAAATCACTATTTTAATCATTTAAAGCCTGCCTTTACTTCATACACATTTCTATTTATTATTTATTTATTTGTTATTAAGGAATTTGTTTGTTTTTTGTTTTTTATTTTTATTTTGGTTTTTCAAGACAGGGTTTCTCTGTGTAGCTTTGCGCCTTTCCTGGAACTCACTTGGTAGCCCAGGCTGGCCTCAAACTCACAGAGATCTGCCTGCCTCTGCCTCCCGAGTGCTGGGATTAAAGGCATGTGCTGCCGCCGCCCCCCCCCCCCACCCCCGGCTGATTTTTGTTATTTTTAGACAAGGTTTCTCTGTGTAGTTTTGGTGCCTGACCTGGAGCTTGCTCTGTAGACCAAGCTGGCCTCGAACTCACAGAGATCCGCTTGGTTCTGCCTCCCTAGAGCTGGGATTAAAGGCGTGCGCCACCTGGCAATTAAGGAATCTTTTTTATTCATTTTACATACCAACCACAGATCCCCCTTTCTTCTCTCCTCCAGCCCCTCCAGCCTTCCCCCACAACCCACCCCCGATTCCCTCCTCCAACAAGGTAAGGCCTCCCATGGGGAGTCAGTAGAGGCAGGTCCAAGCCCCTCCCTCATCAAGGCTGTGCAAGGTGTCCCATTATAGATAGTGGGCTCTAAAAAGCCAGTTCATGCACCAAGGATGGATTCTGACCCTGTCATACATGTTTCTTACATACGTATGTCCCTTGAAGTTGTTAGCTATCTTGTGGTCATGTTGTTACATATGAACTTGCATCTTGATTTTAGCCTGATAGTCAAATATTTTCTCACACGATGACATACTTACTTAAGATATTTACAAGTGGGGTTGGGGATTTAGATCAGTGGTAGAGCGGTTGCCTAGCAAGCACAAGGCCCTGGGTTCGATCCTCAGCTCCAAAAAAAAAAAAAAAAAAAGATATTTACAACTGTATCTTACATGGTCACACCATAATTCAGTTAACCATTACCTACTTTTGAATTTAAGTTCTGTGTTACCCTATATATTACATTTATGCCATATATAATATATGTATATATATATTACCACAATGAGTATTTCTTTTATTTTTATTTATTTATTTTTTGTTTTTGTTTTTTTTTCCAGAGCTGAGGACTAAACCCAGGGCCTTGTGCTTGCTAGGCAAGCGCTCTACCACTGAGCTAAATCCCCAACCCCTGTTTTTGTTTTTTTAAGACAGGGTTTCTGTGTGTAGCCCTGGCTGTCCTGGAACTTGCTCTATAGACCAGGCTGGCCTCAAACTCAGAGATCCCCCTGCCTCTGCTCCCAAATGCTGGGATTAAAGGCATGCACCAACTCTGCCCAGCCATAATGATTATTGCTATGTGCACCAACTCTGCCCAGCCATAATGATTATTGCTATGTACAAAGCTTTCAGTGTATGTGGTTTTTTTTTTTTTTTTTTTTTTTTTAATTTTGTTGTCTTGCTGTCTGTTGGGGGAAATGACCTCTTGGTAACAGAGTCCCTGAGAAAGACTGTCAAGTGTGTTCATGAGAATTCAGGAGGCCGAAGCAGAAGAATCCCACTGTCAGTTTTTGCTACATAGTGAGACCTTGTCTCAGAAAAAAGGACAGTGAGTGTTTTTTAAGTCATTCCTGATATTGTTGCTTTCTACATGTAAAGGTGACATAGAACTTACAATTCAAAAGTAGATAATGGCTAATTAAATTATGGTGTGATCATGCAATATACAGTTGTAGGTCAGGCTGTGGTGGCACACACTTTTAATCCCAGCACTTTGGAGGCAGAGGCAGGTGGATCTCTGTGAGTTCGAGGCCAGCCTGCTCTACAGAGTGAGCTCCAGGACAGTAAGGACTACATAGAGAAACCCTGTCTCAAAAAAAAAAAAAAAAAATTGTAAATAGCTTTTGGTAAAATCATTTTCAGCCTCAGAAAATGGGATGCTAATGCTAATGTAGAGATTGGGGCAAAGGTATTTAGAGTTGGAACTGTGCAAAGAAATTTAGCGTTCCTGGTTGCCATGCTCACAGAGAGCATATTATGGTGGCTTATTGGAGGAAAGTTGAAAAACAGTCAAAATTTGTATGGTGATATGGTGACACTGGAACTCAGTATGTAGTGTAGCCCAAGTTAGCCTTGAACTCAAAGTTGTCCAGTTTCAGCCTCCAGAGCAGTGAGATTACAAGAGTATACCACCACGAAGGTCTTTTAATTAATTAATTATTTAATTAATTAATCCATTTTTGAAGCAGGGTCTCATTATAAAGTCCTACCTGACCTATAACTCACTCTGTAGACCAGGCTGGCCTCGAACTCACAGAGATCTGCCTGGCTCTGCCTCCCCAATGCTGGGATTAAAGGCGTGTGCCACTGCTGCCCGGCTGATTTTTTTTTTTTAATCGACTTTTATTTTATAAAATTTGTTTGTCTGTTTGAGGGTGTCAGCTCCCCTGGAACTGAAGCCATAGACAATTTTAAGCTGCCATGTGGGTGCTAGGAATTGAACCCAGGTCCTCTGGAGAAACAGCCAGTGCTTTTAACTGCTGAGCCATCTCTCCAGCCCTCTCCCTAGTCTGTTTTTAAATGAAACCTCTCTGTAATGTAAGTGATAGAAAACTTTATCATCCCATGAGTATTATTTTGTCTACAGTCTTGGCTCACTTTCGCCTGGTTAAAACATTCTGGTGGGTTCTGCTATCAAAGCTTGGTCTTCTGAACTGGCAGCGGAGGTAGGTCCACCATTACAGGAACTCAAGATGTGCTTATTTAACAGGGTTGACTGTTTAAAGTTAGAGCTTAGAAAAGAGCCTTGAGCAATGGTGCTGACCATGCAGATGTTAATGCAATGCGACCGACTGAGTTCCTCTTCCTGTGTTCCTGAAACAGATGTCCGAGAGCAAAAGGGAGGAAGACCGCAGGAGGACCGCGTCAGTAAGTAAAGGTGAGAGTCCCGAGTCCGTATACTTGGTATCAGAGGAGAGAAACTGTTGCTGAGTGTGGAGGGGGCAGAGCAGAAGGGAAAAGCAGAGAGGCTCTAAGGCCTCACCACACCAGCAAAGGCCACTGCATGAACCCTGTGCTTCCCTCCTCCCAAATGCAGAGACAGCTCAGATGGCCCAGCAGAGCCACCATAAAGGACAAATTACTGGCAGATAGAGCTCACTTTGTTGCCATGTCTCAGGGCTTGCATTCACAAAGCTTTGTGAATAGACAGATTTGTGTGTCTATAATATCTATAAAAATGTATCGACAGGAAAGATTTCTATTCCACAATTTATAAAGAACGAAGTGCACAGTACTTGTGTTAAGTGCTCTAGAGACTACTGATTTCACACACAGTGCTCTTTTTAACTTTGGCCAGACCCTTGCCTCCTGGGTCATGTCATAGTTATAAACTACTAATTGAACATAATGTTAGCATAAATGTTATTGTCCTCAGAGTTAAGGAATGAAATGGAGTCGAGACATAGATGTATGTTGGAACTCAGCTTAGCTGTCCCATATGGACTCTTTGTTGAAGTGACTTCATCATAGCTTCAGAATACTGGAAGAATATTTCTTTTTTGTTAGTTTTTTATTTTTTATTTATTTTATTTTTTATTTTTTTGAAGAATATTTCTTAATTTTGGGTTGCTATTCACAATATAGGTGGCAGCCATGACGATCTAATCAGAAACACACATACTCCATCATTTTCTTAGCCCTGGGCAATCAGTGAAACTATACACTAAGCCCTGATCTTTTTGCTAGTTTCCAGGTAAATGCTCACTCCAATGATGGTTTTGAGCTGGCCAACATTGTCACAGAACAGAATTGGAGACAGATGTACAATAATAGCACATCCTCAAATAGTACTTCCCACATCCAGATAAACAGCTTTGAGAGCACAGAGCATAATAAACTGTAGTAAGATAATTAGGAAATTATGGGCATTAAGTAATTATCACCTTTTTGGTAGATTGATTTAATTGTACATTTGTGTAATTTGTTTAGTAATAACGGTTTAACCATCTCACAAAATTTCCAAAAATGTATTAGATTTTTGAGCTGGTACGAGCCACCATCGGCATACAAAAGAACATGAAGAGAAGAGAGGACTCTTGCTATCACATCACTCTCATACACACACTGGAACCTTTGAGACTTCAAGACAAAGGGGGCGAGGTCCTGCTCTGGGAACTTCCTTCTCTGGAAACCTTCCCATTTGATAACATAGACAGGGGTTACAAAGTTCAGAAGAGATTTCAAGAACCTGTGTGACTCCTCCAGACTTTGTGGGATGGTGTACAGTGCTAGCAATGGAGTCATTTTGCTGACATTGGCCAGAGATTGAGAGAGGCAGTGGTTTGACTGTTAGTGATCCTACACATGTGGCCGGCCGGCTTTCTTGGGTGATGGGGAGTTGTTAGTCAAGGTCCTATCATTTTGAAAAGTTCTAGCAGTTTCCTGAAACCAACAATCAAGCAACATACAGTAACTTACTTCCCTAGATTCCTGCCACTGCCCCCACTGAAGACCCTGATAATGGCTGGCCGTAAGAGAGATTTATTTATTTATTTAGATAGAGTCTTATTATGTAACCCTATCTGACCTGGAACTCAACTTTGTAGACTAGGCTGGCCTGAACTTTCAGAGCTCCATCTGCCTGGGAATCTGCCTCCCCAGTGCTGGGATTAAAGACATGTACCAGCACATCTCATTGAAGGACCTAACATTCTTTAACTGATTACTCACTGGTTATGTCAAACAAGGACCAACTGTGAGCCAAAACCAAAACTCTGAAGCCTCCATCTCTGTCCCAGGCTCAGTCCTGTAACTATGCCAATGTGTAAGCAGAAGGCAGGGCGCTGGTCCTACAGACGCCCTCTGTGGACCCCCAAAATGTGCTCCTCAACATTCTCCCCTTGTCTGCCTGTCCTTCTCACGGACCTTTGTTTATTTGTTTTGTTTTTCGAGACAGGGTTTCTCTGTGTAGTTCTGGCTGCCCTGGAACTCTCTCTGTAGACCAAGCTGGCTTCGAACTCACAGAGATCCCTTTGCCTCTGTCTCCCAAGTGCTGGGATTAAAGGCATCCACCACCACTGCCCGACTTCACTGACCTTTTCATAACATCCTATTATTAATGACTATTATTGCCTAACTTGTCGATCTGTTTTGTTGGTTAGAAAGCAAAGAAACTTCCCATAAGCGACAAAATAAAGATGGATCCTGGGACTCGTCACAAGTAATGAAGAAGCCAAAGCAGAACCAACTTTCCGTGGTAACTGACTCCGAAGTGGCTTTGGTCAACGCCTACCTTGAACAAAGACGAGGTAGGCGCCATTCCCAGTTCCACCGCGTGAATCAGATCCAGCAGGACAGTGATACCACCGAGTGTGACAGTGAGGAATCTAATTCTGGAGTGTCCTCATGGAAGGAGAGCGAAAGTGAACACCACCCGTCGCCCGCCACCATCAAGAGGAGAAAGTCAGTGTCGAGGCCAAGGGATCTGGAAAGTTACCAAATCAGAGAGAGGCCTTGCCTCCACTGCAAAGCCATGAGAACCAATGAATGGCTGACCCGCCACTTCCCACCTAGCACTTCAGTAATGTCTCCCATGAAGGGAGAGATTCAAGAGGAGAATTTGACACCTGGCATCAACACAAAATTAAGTAAATTCTGAATCTTGGCATCCTTGCCTTACTTGAAGTCAAAAGAAGGAGATGAATAAAACATGAAAACCAGAGTTGTAGGTGAGGAGACGTTTACAATAAAGCCTCTTTGCTCACAACGAAAGTATAATTGGAACCCAAGAGGTCAGATTTCAGGCAAATTCATTGTTCAAAACAAGGGCAGAGAATTTGTCCATGCCACCACAGGAACACGGAAGACTTGTGTCTTCCATGATCTTTTTTTTTTTAAGTCAAAGAGCCTCGGGCAGATAGTCCATACCCTGGGTGTATGTGTTTTGTTTATGTCAATGATACAAATACAAAAGCTTTTTGAAAATATATTTATGTTGAGAAACCATTGAAATCTATTCATATGTTTTGATTATCTGACTGACTAAAGAAATAAGGTGACTATGTGAATCAGGTGATTTTTGTAATAGCTGAAGTGACTCTCCTAGAGCTGTATTGATTGCTATATTGAGTCCACTAAGGGCTGTCGTGTAAAGGAGTTTAAGGGCCTGGAATATGACCTTATTTCTAGAGTACATCAGGGAGAAGGGAAGTGTGACTCAGAAGGCAGCTGGGCTGTGACTTGTCCTCCATTGTTGTCCCAAGACCATGGCAAGTGTTAAACGTTTTTTCTGACACTTGTTAAGGAGAAAATTTTTATTTGATACTATTACAGTAGAGATTGATAAAGGAGCTACATAGAAATGAAAGCCCAGTATAAGATAAATGATTTATAGCCAAGGAGAAGGTTGAGGAGAGCCACTGGATGGAAACTACTAGAGGAGGGTAATGGATAATCCCTGCTAAACTTACCTAACACTGTTTTTTGAGACAGGGTCTCACTAGGTAGCCTTGGCTGGCCTGGAACTCATTATATAGATCAGGCTGGCCTCAAACTCCCAGAGATCTGCCTGCCTCAGCATCCCGGGTACTGGGTTTAACATTGCGGGCCACCACATCAGGTCTCTAACATGATTCGTGGTGAAGGTGGGGCTTAACCATCACAAGTATGGTCAACTATCAACTTGACAGGATTCTTGCTCAGTAGGTCAGACAGAATAGGACCAAAGTTGAAGCCTGGTCAAGAGGAGAACTCAGAAGAGCCTGTCTCAAGCTTGGTAGAAGAGAAGGCCTTTGGCACAAGTAGCTGAAATCTAGGCAAGCCTGGGACTAGATTTTTCATTTCAGTTGGGGAACCTAGCAATGAAGAGTTCAAGGCTAAGATGGATGGATAGCCGTTCTATGGATCACTTTCCAGGTGGATGACAGGCACCCAACTGTGTTATAAACCAAGGTCCAGATCCTAGAGGGGACTGGCAAGGATTAGAAACTATGACATGGACTCTGGCCATGGGGCTGGAGTTCAAACAAGAATGTAGGCCTTGGAGAAAGACTTGGTTACCATCTATGGTGGATGATGTAGCCTGATACTAAGGACTGTGACTTTCATGAGGAACAGGGAAAGGACTAGCATTGAGAACAGATAGCTGTGACTTTGGACCCAGGATTCACCTTGGCAAGAGCCGATTCCTTAACTAGTTATAACAAAGACTTTGGAACCAATGTAGAAGTCTAAACCACTGGGGTCTAATTGGGATAATCTGTGCGAGCATTACCAGACACCAGAGGCAGAGTTGCTTGGTAGAGAACATGATAGCATGGGTCAGGCTTTGGGTCCCATCCCCTGTGCTGCATAGACCAGCTATGGAGGTACACGCCTGGGATCCCAGCACTGAAGAGGTCGAGGCAAGAGGATCAGGAGTTCAAGGAGTTCCAGATCAGCCTGGGATACAGGAGACCCTGTCCTAAAACAACACTAAAGAGAGGTGGGAGGATATCTAAGGAGAGAGTTGCCCCAAACCAAATGAATGAGACATAGACGTGGTTAGCTAAGAAACAAAAGCATGGACACCTAGGTTGGGACTAGATTAAAGAGGGCAGTGCAGAATTGGTGAAGCGGGAGATTGCTCATGAAGCCAAGGCTGCAAATACTGGTCACAGCTGGATGTTGCCTCCGTGTCACTCTCAGGATGGGACTCCAGGCCGGCGGGACAGTCTCCTCTTCAGTCTCTCCTAGGGCTAAATGGGATCTTCTCTGATGTTTATGGTCAAAGCCTGGCGCCTGTTTGGCTGGCTGTCTTGAGGGAAGGCTTGCCTCTGTTTGGTGACTCATCCATGCTAAGTTTCAGAAATGACCTCTGTCACAACTGCATCACGTATCACAATTCTTTTTTTTCTTTTTTGCCACAATTCTTATCAGGAACTGAGAGGCAAAGAACCGTGGAAGCAGGGAAGGTTCTGACTGAAACGGATGCAGTGAAGGAGAGCATGTATGCAGGGGGTATTTGCAGAAAGACAGGAAGCGAGATGATAGGGAACATGGATTACCAGATGGTCGGTGTCAATCTCTGCTTGCCACATTGGGTGACGTGGCTTTGCTTGGTGCAGGCAGGTTTGTCAGGGTGGCAGGGAAGCAGCCTGGACTCAGGTAAAACCAGATCCTCAACTTCAGCAAAGAACCCAAAGGGAAGCCGGGTGAAGCAGAGTTGGAGCTGAGTAAAAACTGGAAAGTGGTGCACGTGGGGAGGCTGACACACCTCAGAGCATGGAGGGGCTGCCCAGGAAAGAGCTGCACGTCCATGTCTTAGCATTCACCATAGTTACCGCTGGGGCTCTGGAGTTCCAACTCAAAGGGCTGTAAGAGACTTTCTCCCTCTTCAATAAATGAAGTGAAAGGCAATGCCTTGAGTCAGTAGGGTTGCTCAAGGGCCTTAGGACATATATTTTACTATACACGGGGTTTCTAGTGGAATTCCTAGGAAATTACAGGTTTAGAATAGAGAGGAGAAAGGCCTAAAGCAAATGTTAATTGTATCACGATTTTTCTCATCTGGTCAAGATTGCAGACTTCTAGGAGAGGGGTTCTTTTTCTGCTCAGGCCCACATGCTCTTGGTCCTGCTTCAGGGTAAATCTAAGTAACAGAAACACAGTAAGTAATGTTATTGGGGAACATTTAGAGAATGCTTGCTATATTTCAGGCACATTTCAGTAAGTATTTACAAAAACTGTTTTCACAAATCTGCCAGATAGATATTATTGAAACCTGGTGGATGATGGAATTGAGACAAGGACCAGTTGGTGAAAGTGAGAGATTCAGGTTTGGGGTCATATCTAACCACAAATATGATCTTCCCCGCATGATAATACAGTAACCATCTTATTTTATTTTTTACATTTATTTGTGTGTGTGTGTGTGTGTGTGTGTGTGTGTGTGTGTGTGTGTGTATGAGCACATGATGTTGTATACATGTGGAAATCAGAGGACCACATGCTGGAATCTGTTCTCTCCTTCCACAACGTGGGTTCTGGGATGAACTCGTTTTGAGGCTTGGTAGTGAGTGAGTGCCTTTACCTTTTGGCCGTCTCACCTGCTCTATCCATGTTCTTCTTTTTAAAGATTTCTTTTATGTGTACAGATGTCTTGCCTGAATGTATCTGTATGCACCTTGGTGCTCACAGAGATCAGAAGAGGGCCTCAGATCCCCTGGAACTAGAGTTATGGATGGTTGTGAGCCACCATATGGGTGCTGGAAATTGAATCTAGGTTCTCCACAAGAGTTCCGAGTGCTCTTGACCACCGAGCCATCTCTCCAGGCCTATTATGCATTTGTTGTTGTTTGAGACAGGGTCTCCCTGTGCACCTTTGGATGGCCTTGACTCAGAGATCTGCCTACCATGGGCTCCTGAGCACGGGGATCAAAGGCCTTCGCCACCATACCTGGCCTCTACTGTGAAACTGAGCACACCAAATACCAACTACAGACCAGAGGGACCGTCAGGGGAAACTACAGCAAGAGTCAGAAACTGGATAGCCAGGGGAGCATTTCTAAGGTAGCTGGGGGTTCGCCTGTTTGGTGGAGAGAACTCAGTTTCCATTTGCCTCAGCTTCTGTGAGAAAGCCTGGCTTGGCTCAAAACAAAAGGGGGAAAGGCTGGAGGCCTGGGAAGCAGCCATGAATGGGGCTGAATGTTGAATAGCAAGAGGCAGCAGGGACTGGAACAGCGAGGATCTGAGGGGAGGGGAGTGGGAGGCTGGGATTGAGAAGGGTGGTGAGAAGGGTGGTCTCCATTCCAGAGCGGGGAGGCTCCTGGAGGCAGCAGGCCAGCTACTCAAGAAGACCAGATAACAGCTGCAGAATTCCACCCAGCCAGCCACCTCGTCTCTGAGGAAGGAATGCTCTTATCTCCCAGTGTGTCCATCCTAGGAAAGTGATTTCAGAACAGCTACCCACCCCTCCCTGCCACTTTTTTTTTTTTTTTTTTTTTTTTGGTTCTCTGTGTAGTTTTGGTGCCTGTCCTGGATCTCCCTCTGTAGCCCAGGCTGGCCTCAAACTCACAGAGATCTGTCTGCCTCTGCCTCCCGAGTGCTATTACTGATTTCTGACTATGCCTAATACATGAACGAAACAACTTCACTCCTCCTCCATCTGCTCCTTCTCTTCTAAGAAAATTCGACTACCCAGCAAAGAATATAAAGGGTGTAGGAACAATAGATTTACCAAATAGTTTTAGTTTTCTCCATCACTATGGATAGAACCCAGGGCCTTGAGCACGCTTGACAAGGGCTCTACCTAAATTAAATTTTATCGTACATACACACAACACACAGACACACAGACACAGACACACACACACACACACAGACACACACAGACACACAGACAGACACACACACACACACACAGACACACAGGAAAAATCATATATGCATAAAGCTCAGTGCCCTCTGGGACTAATCCCCATGGTAAGGGTGGAGGCTGTTGTAGTCAGCAGTGAAATCAATTAGTGATAGTAACCAGCACTTATCAAAAAATAATAGAGGGTAGCAGAATTGTTTCTGTTTCAGGGTATGTGTGCTGAGCCGCAGTACGAAATGTGTTTCTTACTATGTTGAGGTAAAAACCAAACTTACTGCTGGATGGGAGTTTTCTTTGGAGTTTTCCCCTTCTTATGCGGCAGCCACACCACTAAGTTAGTGAGAAGAATCGTCGCTTCATGCGCTCCAGACTGGCCACATGCTAGTAATTAGTAAATCTTCACCACGCTGTAGGATGGACCCGCTGTTTAGGTTAGTGAAAAGCGTGAATTGAATCATATTACTTTAGAAGAACTACAGGTTTATATTTGTAAATACAGCAAGTGGAAGCAAGCTAACTAACTGTGGCCAGCACACAAGGATGGGCTTTGCTTTGGAGAATAGACAAGAGTAATTTGTAATTGACATTTCAAAGAAGCCTAAGAAACAGGCCCGCCTTTGTTTAAATCGTAATTACCCTGTTTGTATGTAAAAGGATACTTCTATAGAAAGCTTTTCAAAACAACTGGCTCTTTTAAGTAGATAATTATTCCCCGTCTAATCTTGTTTATGCTATGCAGAACTTCAGCGGACTCTTTTTTCCCCCCACAAAGGTTAACTTCAGCCAGCCCTCCCTCAAATGATCACAAATTCCCAATTAGTGAATTCTAAAAGGGTTTCCCTGCAAACAGTATGCCAAGGACTTGTCTGCCGTGTTCTTTATTGCATTGAATAATGTCTGACAGGTTTCCAAGCGCCAGGCCACCTGGATATTCTCTCTGTCAGGAACACGTGGTCGAAGAGGTGGACGCCCGCCGTTAAAGGGGCGACTGCAAATGAGTCGCAAACCTTCCGAGGTGGGGAAGGGTGGCAAAGGGGACAATATCTTTCATATGAACTAAATATTACTGCAGGGCCCTTTTAAGTGTAAGGAGGAACTTACATTGGTAACCCTAGGCAAGAAAAAAAAATTTAAAAATTAAACTTTAAAAAAAAATGTAGAGCAGAAAATTATTAGCTTTAAGCTCCTAAGAGAAAGGTGTCTTTTAAATCAATTCTGCTTGTGCATTTTTGTTTGTTTGTTTGTTTGTTTTTATCACCACCCCCTGTCCCCACCCTGCTCCTTCACTGAACTACTTGGAAATCTCTACTCAGTACTCAAAACCCAATGAACGAAATACTTTTTAAAAATAATAAAAAGTTTTAATCCCAACAACACTATTTTCCAGTTCCCATCTTTTGAACTTCTGAGCTCCACTTCTTTTGCAGGCGGATCTTAACCCTGCCTGATTCTGGGGCCTGCAGTCTGTAACGACCTTTGTTTATTAGTGTCCCCTGTCACCACAGAGTTTCATATGTTCAAAACCTTGGTTTAGCAGTGAAAAGGCCAGGCAGGGAGCCAGCTCTGCTACTAATTAGAATAAATCAAAAGGGGGAGCGGGGAGATAAAAACCAGGTTCCGGTGGGCGGATCTACCGGATTTAGTAAGGCTGAGTGGTAGCTCTGAGAGAGAAATAAGAGACAAAAGTGTCTGGAGAAATGCCTGCTGGGGCCGGAGCACTTTGTGTTGTCTCTGATTGCTCGGCTCTGGGGTCAGAGTCGGGGTAGCCCCTGCTGATTGCCTCTCTTTCTTCCCTTCCAGCAGACCCCCACCCTGCTCCATTGTAAGCTTTCTCTTACATGCGGTCTTGATTGCTCTGAGCCAATCATGGCAGCTCCAGTCCCCCAGTCGCTGAGTGGTTCAAGCAGGCAGGGGGTGTCATTTCTTTCTGGGGAGAAGTTGGCTGGTGGGGGCATTCTTTAAAGTTTCTTCGCTCTGAAACCAGACATGCAGAGAGATGAAATGGCCTCTTTTCTCTCGGTGGACGGCTCTGAGTCTGCGGGGGGGACAGCAACACGTGTCCCCGACGGCCTGGCTTTGAATGTGACAAAGTGGAAAGTTGGAATCAGTAGGTCCAGAGCTGCCGAACTGACGAGGAGCTAGAGCAATGCTTTGGATTTCTTTTTGGTTTTTTGTAGCCCAGACTTGCCTGGAATTCACCATCTGCCTGCTTCAGCCTCCTGTACTGTACTGTACTGGGGACTGTGGGAGCGAGCTGCTGGGCCTGACACCGCTTTTGGATTGCTTGTAGACAAAGTCATTTTTTTCTAAGACAAGTTCTTACTAGATAGCCTTAGTTGGCCTGGAACTCTTTATGTGAACCAGCCTGGCCTCAAACTCACGGAGACCCACCTGCCTCTGCCTCCTGAGTGCTGAGTTTAGAGACATGCCCCACTAACATATTTATTTTTTAAAAATTACCCTGGCTGGGTGTAGTAGAACACATCTTTAATCCCACCACCTGGGGGGCAGAGGCAGGTTGATGTAAATTCAAGGCCAGTTTAGTCTACATCAGGAGTTCCAGGCCAGCCAAGACTACATAGTGAGACATTGTCTCAACAAACAAACAAGCCTCCCTGTAGCAGGAATCTTAGAAGTTCTTATTAATAAAATCAAACCTGAGGCCAGTTATTGGGGTGAACACTGGAAAATCAGAGAAGCAGAACAAGCCACAGCTACCTCACCTCGTCGGATCCTCAGCTGATCCTGTTTCCTCAGGCTTCTGAGTCCTCATCCAGAATGGAACTGCTGCTCAAAAGCCTGAATGCTTAACCAGGCCAAATGCTTCTAGTTTCTGGTCTTCACGCCTTATATACCTTTCTGCTTTCTGCCATCACTCCCTGGGATTAAAGGTTTACTTTCTTGGGATTAAAGGTGTGAGTCACCATGCTTGGCTGTATCCTTGAACACATGGATTCCTGCCTCTGGAATGCTAGGGTTAAAGGCATGTGCTACCACTGCCTATCTTCTATGTTTAATATTGTGGCTGTTCTGTCTCTGACCCCAGATAAGTTTATTAGGGTGCACAATATTTTTGAAAACACAATACCACCACATTTCCCCTCTTTTTGTCTAAAATTTTAAAAAATCTTGTAACTAATACAAGAAAAGTTATATCCAGTATGTGTATACAATATACACAGTCAAGATTACTTTAATGATATCTAGTCCATTAACATTTGACAGATTCATACAAAAAACTCCATTTTATATATATTAACAATGTCCAGTCCAGTAACATTTGATTCTATTTAAAACAAGTAGATCCTTTTTAAAAGTAGATTCAAAAATTGACCCTTTTATCTTATCATATTCATATTTTCATAAAAGTTTCAGTAATCTACCTTTTGGCATTTTTATACCTCCCCCCAACCAAATATGTCTATTTATATAGTCTTTCTTTCTTCCTTTCTTTCTT